TCACTGCCCTGGCCCCTTCCTTCACTGCCCTGGCCCCTTCCTTCACTGCCCTGGCCCCTTCCTTCACTGCCCTGACCCCTTCCTTCACTGCCCTGACCCCTTCCTTCTACCAGCCCCTGCAGCCTGTGGTTCACGTCTGGGACTCTGAGACATTGCTGAAGCTGCAGGAGATTGGGTTGGGGGCCTTCGAGCGGGGCGTGGGGGCCCTGGCCTTTTCCATTGCGGTGAGCAGACCCCCAAGACTTCTGTGTCTCTGGGCTCCTTTTTGCACTTCACTGGGAAGCCTGGGGAGTTGGGGTCTCCTGGAGCCCGGCTCAATCAGTTCTCCTGAGAAAGGGGACGTGTGTCCACTTCTCTTGCCCTCTCAGCCTGTGATGGTATCCCCTTGACTAATGGCCGCCTCGATCAGAGCCTCCAATGTGTCCCCATTCTCAGGACCAGGGTGCCTATCTTTGTGTGGTGGATGATTCCAATGAGCATATGCTGTCCGTGTGGGACTGTGGGCGCGGCGCGAAGCTGGCTGAGATCAAGGTGTGGCATCCAGGTGGCCTGGGTGGGCACTGAGTCTGGGGAGGCGGGAGTGGGGCAGGGCAGAGCACCTCAGACTCACCCCTATATTGTCTGGCTGCGACAGGCCTCCACGTCTTTCCGAGGCTGTGTATTGGGGGCTAAGGAAGAAAGTTCTGACCAAAAGGGGATGTGTGAAACCCTCTCAGACGGTCAGTCAGGAGAGACTGCTCCTGGGGACCAGGGCCTTGAAGGAGAGTTGTCCTGGGGCTTCTGGCCTTCTGCAGACCCGAGGCCATGTCCGAACTGAAGTGCCAGTTCAGGGCTCGGGCTGAATCTTGTCTCTTCCCTTCAGAGTACCAATGACTCGGTTCTGGCAGTTGGCTTCAGCCCTCGTGACAGCAGCTGCATTGTCACCAGCGGGAAATCCCACGTCCACTTCTGGAATTGGAGTGGTGGATCAGGGGTCCCTGGAAATGGGACCCTTACCCGGAAGCAGGGTGTCTTTGGGGTGAGGCGTGGGCAGGTGCAGGGTGGGAAGTAGGGCATGGTGAGGGAAGCCTTGGCCTGAGAGCTGAAGCTCCTGATGCTCCTCAACACCCCCCATCTTAGCCCTTCCCTTTGACCTTTGCCCTCTGCTTGCCTCTCCCCTAGAAATACAAGAAACCCAAGTTTATCCCTTGCTTTGTGTTCCTCCCTGATGGAGATATTCTCACGGGTGACTCAGAGGGGAACATTCTCACCTGGGGGAGGAGCCCCTCAGATTCCAGGACCCCAGGCAGGGGTGGGGCCAAAGGTATGTGGTTGGGGGGTGCATTGCGAAGTCTAGTTCCCTGGAGGGTCTGTGGGAACGGAGACCAGCATTCCTCTCGAGAGTTGGCTGTTCTCTGAGGGGGCTGGTCTAACAGGGTAGGTGGGGCTGGCAGCATGACAAAGGGGAAAGGCTGGGGCTGCCATCTGGGTTCAAATCTCCGTTTTGCCACTAGTCATCTGGCTTTTAGGAAGTGACCTCACTTCTTTGCACCTTGCCCAGTCTATAAAAGGCTGAGGGTCGGAGACAGCATTCGCAATGCAGCTGGGAGTTACAATCTTGCAGCGGCAGATAGGTCCAGGCTGTTCCCTTTTCCCACGTGCCTTCCCTCCATGAGCATGACCTACCCAAGCCTTTGCCGACAGAGACCTATGGGATTGTGGCGCAGGCCCATGCTCACGAAGGTTCCATCTTTGCGCTGTGTCTCCGGCGGGACGGGACCGTGCTCAGCGGTGGCGGGCGGGACCGCCGGCTGGTACAGTGGGGGCCCTCCCAGCAGGCGCCTGGCTTGGTGGCCCTCCAGGAGGCTGAGGTGAGGGTTGGGCTCCGGTGGTGGGAGGCAAAGAGGGAAGGGGAAGAGGAATGGCTCACGGGCCGACTTTCTGCCACATTCTGCAGATTCCGGACCACTTTGGGGCCGTGAGGGCCATTGCTGAGGGGCTGGGCTCAGAACTGCTGGTGGGAACCACGAAAAATGCGTTGCTGAGGGGAGATCTGGCTCAGGGCTTCTCCCCCGTGATTCAGGTTGGTCCCCTGCCGGCAGGGGCTGGGAGGAAGGGGGGGGGAGCACGGTTGGGGAGGGGCAAGGTGACAGCCAGCACTCCTGCAGGGCCACACGGACGAGCTCTGGGGGCTCTGTACTCATCCCTTCCGAAACTGCTTCCTCACCTGCGGCCATGACCGGCAGCTGTGCCTGTGGGACGGGGAGGGCCACGCGCTGGCCTGGAGCACCGACCTCAAGGTACAGCCCTATCCTGGATCCCCATGCCACCCCCCAGACTCCGGGCCACCACTCCTCCCACCACCTCCTTTCCCTCTGCTCCCCAACTTGTATTGGTGTGTGCTGGCTGGTGTTCCTTCTGCAAGGTGCTTCCGGGGCCTTCTGAGCACTGCCTAGCTCTCCCAGGTCCCCTCCCCGCAGCTCCCTTGATCCTGTAACTAATGGCGAGTCTCCCACCCAGCGGGCGGCTTCAGCTCTAGCTGTTCAGTATTTTCAGTGTCAGCCCTGTTGAGGCTGCAGTGACGCCTGTCCTGTCGCCCTCTGCTCCCCTCTCCTCTCTGGGAGGAGAGGGTGGCTTGGCCCTTACGAAGATGCCAGGTGTACGACTTGGATCCTTGCACTTTCTTGAATTCACTTTCCCCCTCCCAGGAGACTGGTCTCTGTGCCGACTTCCACCCCAGTGGGGCAGTTGTGGCTGTAGGACTGAACACCGGGAGGTGAGAGGGATCCAGCGCTCCTGGGAGGGGAACGCAGGAGGTACGAGAGTTGCTGCTAGAGGGGAAGGGGGGAGGAGCCCAGCTGCGGCTCTGTGCTCCCCGGTGCAGCCCCCTCCAGCTCAGCTAGCAGCTTGGCTGTGGTGACTCCCCCCTCCCCCCTCCCTGCCAGGCTTCTCAGGTTAGAGAAGCCGAGGAACTGGAGGGCCACTCTAGGAAGTGACAGGCTGGGTGACAACCTTGGTGGTCCTCAGCTTTTCTCTGCCCTCGGCCCTTCCCATTTCCCAGCCTAAGAACGCCCTGCACCTCTGTGTGCATCGCAGCCTCTCTGGGTATCTTCAAGGCTTTCCCACTCCCTGACTCGCCACCCTCACCCTGCCCAGGACCCGCCTCCTCACAGCTGCCTCTCCCCTGCCTCCCCTTCCAGGTGGCTGGTTTTGGATACAGAGACCAGAGAGATTGTGTCGGACACCACCGATGGGAACGAGCAGCTCTCGGTGGTCCGGTACAGCCCAGGTGGGAGCCCTCCCAAGCCTGGACCCAGACCGCCCTGGCTCTGCCCCCTCTGAGTGACTGTTTTTGCAGATGGGTTGTACCTGGCCATTGGTTCCCATGACAACATGATCTACATCTATAGCGTCTCTAATGATGGGGCCAAGTCCAGTCGCTTTGGCCGCTGCGTGGTGAGGAAGCTGGGGAGCAGGGAGGGGCTGGACATGCAAGGAAACGCCTCCGAGGTGGCTGATGTGTTAAGGTGGTGGGGATGGGAAGTAGGGGTGTATTTTTAGTTTCTTGACCCACTTGCTCCTAGGGTCACTCTAGCTTCATCACTCACCTTGACTGGTCTAAGGATGGGAACTTCATCATGTCCAATTCTGGGGACTATGAGATCCTTTACTGTGAGTGGGGAGGGAGTGTGGGCAGAGGGTGCATGTGGTGGATTTTACTTGTGTGTAGGACTCCTGGTTGGGAGGGGATGAAGGCAAATAGGTGGGCAGCTCCACTCCAGGCTGTCGGCTAGGGTGATGGAGGTGGTGGCTGAATGCAGCTGGAATTACAGAGGAGAAATTCTGTGATTTGGGGGGAAAAACCCCACCCAGTTTTATACCATGTCTTACTCTCACAAGGCCACGAACAGGTTGAAAAATGCACTCAGGAAAGATTTGCTTGGCAAAGTTTCTCAGGGCAGGCAGGCATGGAGGGACTGATTGATCTAGGGAGGAGGGAAGGTGGACAGCTAGGTGGTTCTGACCTGGGCTCTGATCACTTCTAGTGCTACCACCTCAGGTCAGTTTCCCCAGCTTGGCCTTGGGGTATCTTCCTGACTGAGGGGCAAGTGAGCTAGGTGGCCCCTTCTTCTCCCAGGGGATGTGACTGGAGGCTGCAAACTGCTGAGGAATCGCTATGACAGCCGAGATAGGGAGTGGGCGACGTACACCTGTGTGCTGGGCTTCCACGTCTATGGTCAGTCGGGGTGCACAACGCTGGGAAGGGGGAAAGGAGGGGGGAGGGGGACGAAGGGCTGGGGGTGGGGGGAGCCCGCCTGAGGCCAAGAATGCTGGGCGTGCATTGAGTGGTGGGCGGCCAGCAGCTGGCAGCTCCAGTCCGAGAGACTCACCCCGCTGGCCTCGGGACCAAGAAGGGTTGCCTGGAACGCAGCGGGTGGGTGGCTGCGGTGGCCTGAGGGCAAGAAACTGGCGCTGGGCCCGCGGCCGCGGGGAGGAAGCTGGGCTGAGCCGGGCCACTGTGCTAGGCGTGTGGCCGGATGGCTCCGATGGCACCGACATCAACTCCCTATGCCGCTCCCACAACGAGCGCGTGGTCGCCGTGGCGGACGACTTCTGCAAAGTGCACCTCTTCCAGTACCCGTGCGCACGTGCCAAGGTGAGGCCTCGGGGCCCGGGGGCCGGCCCGCGGGCTCTGAGACCGCCAGGACTCGACTTTTCTCTCGCCTAGGCGCCGAGCCTCGTGTATGGTGGCCACGGCAGCCACGTGACGAGTGTCCGGTTCACGCACGACGATTCGCACCTCATCTCGCTGGGCGGCAAGGACGCCAGCATCTTCCAGTGGCGAGTGCTGAGCGCCGGGGGCGCGGGGCCGGTGCCTACCACGCCCTCTCGAACCCCCTCCCTTTCCCCTGCTTCCTCTCTCGACGTCTGACCTAGAGCCGATGGGACATGCTGGCCCTCCTGGGTGTCTGCGGTGCGCCCCGAAATCCCCTAGGACGGGGGGCCAACCCTTTCCTGGACTTTGAGACATTCCTGAACGCGCATTCCCCCGAAGGGGTCGACCGTCACTCCTGCACACACTGTATAGACCTGCTGGCTGAGCTGGGCAGCACCAGCCTGAGCTTCGACTCCCGCTGCCAGTTGAGGGGCAATAAACCAAAACCAGAGTCGTCTATCAGTCCTTTTGTGGGGGGTTGGCCGGACGCCTCCCGAGCCCTGTGGGGGGTGGGGATCAAGGAAAAGTGGAGTGCGGAAAGGGTAAGGGCGCTTAGCCCATCCATGCAAATTATACGCAAAGCTGCTCGCAAATAACCCCGCGGAGCGCAAAGGCGCGCGAGTCTTTCCGGGCCGCCGCTGAGCTGCGGAACCCGGGCGAGGAAAGAGTTAAACTCAGCTCGTCTCCCGCCCTCGGAGGAGGGGCCGAGCTGCAACGGAAATAACCGAGAGCCGGGTCGCGGTTGGCCGGAGGTTGCCGAACTTCTTCCGGAAGTAGCCGATGTGTGGGGTCTCCCAGAGCCGAGCGCCGGGCCTTGTTCTCCGGATCGGCCGAAGGTGTTCCGGAAGGAGGCGAACCCCAAGGCGGGCAGGGCAAGCCTTCCCGGCGGCCGGCAGAACCCCAACGTCTGGTGGGACTCGGCGGCCGCGGGAGGAGCGGGAGCTTGGCTCCCAGCCGGCGGGAGCCGAGCGCGTTCCGGAAGAAGCCGAGCGGACCGGCGCCGGCCTCGGCGTCCTGAGTGCGGGGCGGTAGCGGCGGCGGCGACCGCGCGGGCCGGGATGAGCCGCGACGGCTGAGGCGGCGGAGGTGCCGGCTGCGCGGGCCCGACCGAGACTTTCGCGAAGCGCCAGTCCCGCGCTTGGGGCTTCGCCTCCAACCGAGCCCTGCCCCGCGAGCCTCCCGGACCCCTTTGTGCGGCCGGAGGCGGCGGCGGGAACGGCCATGGCGGCCAACATGTACCGGGTGGGGGGTGAGTACGGGGCCCAGGGCGGCGGGCCCGGGGCGGGGGAGTGGGGGCCGGGACGGAGAGGCTCGGCACCGGCCGTGCGGGGAGCCGCGTCCGGGGCGGCGTGGTCCCGAGCGCGGACCGGAACCGGAACCGGGAGCCTGGGGACCGCGGGTGCGGGGACAGCGACGCCGCCGGGAGCCGAGACTCTCGGGGAGGCGGCGGGGAGCCCCGGCGGCACTCAGGGCTGCGTCCGGGGCCTCCAGGCAGGGAGTGGGGCTGGGGAGCAGGTTCGGAAGGAGCGGCAGGGCGGGCGCGGGGCGCCAAGGACCTGGACCGGGGCGAGCGCTTTGCCACCTGCGGGGGAGTCGCGGGAGAGGTTTCCTGTCCCCTGGCGTTCTGGTGCGTCTCGGTTTGCAAAAGTGGGGGGCCCTGCGGGAGAGTGAAAATTGCTCCTAGACTGGGGTACAACTCGATCGCAGACTTGTGAGACTGCACGGGAAGCCCCTGCATCTTGTCTCTTCCTTAAGGCTCACTTTTGAGTGAAGAATCTGATCATACTATTAGGGGGTCCAGGGTGGGGAATTCTCCTTTATTGTGTGTTAGTCTCTCTACTTACACATTCCAGCGTCCTCACCACCTGGCTCTCTAACTCCTTTAGTCGGTTCAGGCCTAATTTCTCTCTTATCCCGTGCTCTGGTTCTCCCATCTCCACCTCTGATCTTCCCGGTTGTCCCCCACCCCCTCCTACAGACTACGTCTATTTTGAGAACTCCTCCAGCAATCCTTACCTGGTTAGACGGATTGAGGAGCTCAACAAGGTGAGTGGAGCAGAGCCCCTCCGCCCCAGTGGTTTTTTTTTTTTTTTTACTGAGTTCTCTAACTTCACTTGGGAGGGGAAAAGAGAGAGGACACTACCCTAAGTACCCATTCATATTCATTCATTCATTCATTCATTCAGTGAATGCAGGAAAGGCTATTGAAAGCTCAGTGGAAACTTTACAATCTACTTAGGTTTCTTAGAAACTTATTCTTTGTTGTTAGGGCTTGCATTCATTTCCATTTTAAAATGACCAGTTTTCACTACCTCTTTTTTCCTCAGACTGCAAATGGAAATGTGGAGGCAAAGGTTGTCTGTCTTTTCCGGCGAAGGGACATTTCCAGTAGCCTCAACAGCCTGGCTGATAGTAATGCCAGTGAGTGTTTTTGTAACCCCTTCATTTTCCCCTCCCCCTGATCTGAGGCCTGGGCATGTTCCTGTTTCCCCTGCTGGCATGCCCAGGGCAGGGGTGTGCGCTCGGGGGTGGGAAATGCATGGTCTGTGGAGGGAGGCATGTTTTTACATGTTGGGGTTGGGAGCAGAGAGATGATGATAAGGAGAGCCAGAGTGTGGCTTCTGTGTGTGTAGGAGATGGGAGCATTTAGAGGATGAAGAAGAGCGTTAGAGAAGCAGGACTCTTGGAGGACGATTTTGGATACATTGGGACAATGAGTGGTGACTGCGAAAGTCGAGGTGAAGCGGAAGAGACTGCTTAGAAGCCTGCGTAACAGGGAAGCAGGCTTATTTTGTGATCATGAGGTGGTGAGAGTACACTGAAGGGAGAAGACAGGGAGCTAGAAAAGTTTCTTGCACCTTTTCCTTTCTCACAGATCTTTTCCCTTGACTTCATCTTACTTCTTCCTGTTTCCTTTTTGCTTTGACTTCTCTTTGTTTCATCATTTTTTAAAAACACCTCTCTTAGCTGTCTTAGTTTCTTTTTCCATTTCCTGTGTTGTTTTCTTTCCCTTTCTTGTCTTTCCCAAGTTATTTTCCTTATTTCATACCGCTTTAGGCATGAAGGGGTTAAGGAGGAGCTGGGCCTACCAAGTTCCCTGGCCCACTGGGGTTTCCATCCCCATCTGGCAGGGGCTGACCTTGGCCTTGTCCAATCAGAAGGGGTGTGGGGGGTGTGGTCCCCTTTGCCTTAGCACAGGGTTTCCGGAGCACATAGGCGAAGGGCGGAGTTTGCTGCACCCCCTCCCCCCCAGGTTGGGAACAATGCACCAATGAGCCTGGGCCTGTGGCTCCTCTGCCTCCGCCCTCTTGGGTTGGCGTCCTGCCAGGTTAACCCTTTCCACCAAGGTTTCTGGACAAGTTGTAGCTCCTTAGAGAACAAGGTGTTGGCACTGGCTTGAGAAGTAACTGTCCTTAAAAGCCCCACAAACAAAAGATGATTAGCCAAGTAGAAAGCAAGGGATAGTTAGGGTTGCCTGTGATGTTTAAGTCTCCTGAAACCTGACGAGAGTAACTGGTAAACAAAGCCTGTGAAATATTTTTTCATCTTCCTGGGTTTCTGGACCCGGGGCTGGTTTAGCAAGAGACAGGTGATATTCTGGCTGGCCCTGGTTTGGGCAGTATGTATGCTTTGTGAGTGGTGTTTGAGCATTGCACCTGGGTGTGGGATATATTTCTATGGTATTCTTTGTACTTCCAGCAGCTCTATGCTAAGAGTATTAGTGATAGAGACTTGGGAGTTTCTATGATGGGGGTAGGGCTAAAAGAGAAGACAGATGTCTGGGGAATGTGAGAAAAACAGCTGAGATAGAAAATGTTTTCCCCAGTGGCTTCTTTCTGGATTCGTTTTTTACTTAGTTTCTTCTTCCTTCATCTCCCAGGGGAGTTTGAGGAGGAATCAAAGCAGCCAGGGGTGTCAGAGCAGCAGCGACATCAGCTGAAGCACCGGGAGCTTTTTCTTTCTCGGCAGTTTGAATCATTACCTGCCACCCACATACGGTAAGGACCGATCGGGCCACGGAGGCCCCTGTGCCCTGACTGAGAGGCTGTAGAAGGTGGGCTGTGTGTTGGATATACTGTGAAGAGGGAGTGAGGAGTTCATTAGAACTTTCTGACCTCTCTTGTAGGGGGAAATGCAGCGTAACCCTCTTAAATGAGACAGATATCTTGAGCCAGTACCTGGAAAAGGAGGTGAGAAAGAGGCCTTGGGGGAAGGGAGGGGTGGGAGGAGTGGGTATAGCCGCAAACAGTAAGAGGGAAGTGGGGCTGTGCCCAGGTACACCCCCTTGCACGTGACAACTCTGCCTTGCTTACCTGCTCTCTTCCTGTCTCCAGGACTGCTTTTTTTACTCACTGGTATTTGACCCTGTGCAGAAGACACTTCTAGCTGATCAGGGGGAGATCAGAGTTGGCTGCAAATACCAAGCGGAGATCCCAGAGCGCCTGGCAGAGGGTGAGTGACTGCTGGGTGAGCCGGCATCCTGCTCGTGGTGGTGAGCACCGCTGGGGTCGTGCAGCCTGCAGTCTGCACAGCTTCATGCCGTGACCCTAACAGCCTTAGAGGTACAGGTGGACGCAGTTGGGAAGAGGCCTCTGAGAGTGGAGGCAGCTGGTAGAATACAGCAGCAGCTTGTGGATGAGGAAAGTGCTTATGTGGGTGGAAAGACACCCAGATTCTCCTTACTCACTGCCTGATATGGCCATTGCCCTGTTCCTCAGGGGAATCTGATAATCGGAACCAACAGAAGATGGAGATGAAGGTCTGGGACCCAGACAACCCTCTCACTGACCGGCAGATTGATCAGTTTCTCGTGGTGGCCCGGTGAGGGTGGGTGGATGGGGAAGATGGGCTGGGGGAGATGTGGACGTGGTTCTGTGTCTCACAGTTAGAGACGAACTTTATCTTTTTTTGGCATGGATTGTTCCTTTTTTCTCATCTGACTTTGGTCCTAGCCCACTAGCCCTCTTGACTTCTCAATCTCTCTCTTAGAGCTGTGGGGACCTTTGCCAGAGCCCTGGATTGCAGCAGCTCCATTCGGCAGCCAAGCCTGCACATGAGTGCGGCCGCCGCCTCCCGAGATATAACCCTGGTGAGCAGAAGTTGGATACTTGGGCAGGTTCGACCTGCAGAGGGACCTGCAGAGTCTGGGGACAGGAGAGGAAGGGATCTGCCAGAGAATGGGAGTATTTAAGATTAGCAGAGGTGTGGTATCAAGGGTTTTGGGTCATCAGCATTGTCTCCCACTTCCCTGTAGTTTCATGCCATGGACACTTTGCAAAGGAATGGCTATGATCTGGCGAAGGCCATGTCGACCCTGGTGCCTCAGGGGGGTCCTGTGCTGTGTCGAGATGAGATGGAAGAATGGTCCGCCTCCGAGGCCATGCTGTTTGAGGAGGCCCTGGAAAAGTACGGGAAGGATTTCAATGATATTCGCCAGGACTTTGTAAGTGAATGGTGCTGGGAGGAGAGATGGAAGACTTGACGGGTGAGGAGTAGGTGCCAGATGTCATCTTGCCCTTCTCTTCCCTCCTCAGCTACCCTGGAAGTCACTGGCCAGCATAGTCCAATTCTATTACATGTGGAAAACCACAGACCGCTATATTCAGCAGGTATGGAATGGGCTGGGGAGGCGGGCTGGAGGCCTGCCGCTCACCTCTGCCTGGGAAGCGTGACACCTTCCATGCTAAGAGCCTCTGATCCTTCTTTCTTTTTTCCTTCTACAGAAAAGATTGAAAGCTGCTGAAGCAGACAGCAAACTGAAACAAGTCTATATCCCGACCTAGTAAGTGTGCTGGGCAGGCGAAACCGGCAGGTTTTCCTCTTCTTCCCCAGCCTGTGCTTGCCCTAGTAACTGGGGGTGAATAACTGGTAGGGTCAAGCTATTATGGAGACATGGTAGAAATGGATGCTTTTCCTTGACTAGTTCCTGGTTTCTCCCCCCTTGCTTACCCTTGTTAGCACTAAGCCAAATCCTAACCAGATCATCTCTGTGGGCTCAAAACCCGGCATGAATGGGGCTGGATTCCAGAAGGGCCTGACTTGTGAGAGTTGCCACAGTAAGTTCTGGGGGTTGGGGAGGCAACAGGGACATCTGCTCCAACTCGGGGTGGGTGGGAGATCTGCTCCAGCCCGAAAACCTGAGAGGCTCCCCTGACTTCCCTTTTCTCTGTGCTTCTATAGCCACACAGTCTGCCCAGTGGTATGCCTGGGGCCCACCCAACATGCAGTGCCGTCTCTGTGCTTCTTGTTGGATCTACTGGAAGAAGTACGGGGGACTGAAGACCCCAACTCAACTTGAGGGGGCTGCTCGGGGCACCACAGTAAGGACTGATGTGGGACAGACAGAAGAGAGCAGTTAGCATATTGAATGTGAGCTTTAGGCAAACACCAGGATACCCAACTCCTTACATGGTTTGAGATGTGTGGGTGGGGCATGTGTGGGGGAGGGGGGAGGGGCTTGATAGTAGCTGTGGAGCCAGAGAGATTGTGCTAGCAGGAAAGATCAGGTAGGAATAAATGCTCTGCAGAGACTGGAAGAAAGGATGGCTCAGCGCCCATCTGTGTCCTCTTTTTCCTTTGTCTTCCAGGAGCCGCATTCAAGGGGTCATTTGTCTAGACCCGAAGCCCAAAGTCTCTCCCCCTACACGACCAGCGCCAATCGGGCCAAGCTGCTGGCGAAGAACAGGCAAACATTCCTGCTGCAGACCACAAAGCTGACCCGTCTAGCCAGACGCATGTGCAGGGACCTGTTACAGCCAAGGAGGGCTGCCCGACGCCCCTACGCCCCTATCAACGCCAACGCCATTAAGGCAGAGTGTAAGGGCAGGTGGCGGGCTCGGGGCTGCTTTGCCAGAGACCAGTGTTTCACTGGGTGTTTAGTGAGTGCAGGGAGAACAGACTGCAGACTTGTTAGGAGCATAGACCTGGCTCCAGGCTCTGGAAGAGGCCTGAATAGTGAAGGCTCCTCAAAATCTTTGATCTCTCCTCTCCAGGCTCTATCCGACTTCCTAAGGCTGCCAAGACTCCACTGAAGATTCACCCTCTGGTGCGGCTGCCCCTGGCGACTATCGTCAAAGATCTGGGTATGTGACAGGGAACCAGACCCTGAGTACAGTGTGGGTTAGAGGATGGAGAACCAGCCAGGTGGTGTCACACCCTCCTCTTCCCTTGCGTCTCCCTTTCCCATTGAGTCCTAAGGAGTTTATTCTGACAAACTGCTTTTGAAGGTTAATGTGTTTTCATAAGCTACCAGATCACATGTTGATAAGGTCACACTTGTGTGTGATCTTTGAAATACCGACAATTACTTGTCAGATCCTTCCCCATTACTATTTTTTCTTTTTTAAAGTTCAAACTTTAAAACATTTTTTTAATTTACTTATGCATACAAGAGCTGGGGTATAGGCCAGAGGTGCTGGGTGGAGGTGGGAGGGGTAGTGGTGCTGAGAAGATTCACCAGAGACAGAGTCAGGTACAGAGCAGGTTGATTGACTGAAATGCACTGCTGAGGGGAGCAGCAGGTGGGACAGGAGAGGTCTGCTGCGCCATGTGGGTCAGCTGCCTGGTTGGGGATCAAACTCGTGTGGCAGTGGCTGGCGGTGATAGCTTCATAGTGCTGAGACTTAATTCCTGTACCACCAGGGAGGCCCTACCTTCCCCATCACTATTTTGGGGGTGCCCAAGGAAACTGCACAGAGAGGAGAAATAATGAAAGCTTGCTAAAAAATTTTTTTTTACTCCTGGCAGTCGCCCAGGCACCTCTGAAACCAAAAACACCTCGGGGTACCAAGACACCGATCAACAGGAACCAGCTGACCCAGAACCGGGGACTGGGGGGCATTATGGTGAAACGGGCCTATGAGACTGTGAGTTGACAGACTAGAGTGGACCACGCTGACTTGGGTGGACATTATTTCTCATAGGAGTCTTTCCGAGAGACCCTCTCTCATTGCACTGTCCTATCCTTTTCCAGATGACAGGGGCAGGGGTCCCCTTCTCTGCCAATGGAAGGCCTCTGGCCTCAGGGATTCGCTCAAGTTCTCAACCAGCAGCCAAGCGTCAGAAGCTAAACCCGGCTGATGCTCCCAATCCTGTGGTCTTTGTGGCCACAAAAGATACCAGGTAGGGGGCTCACTATGGAGAGGCTAGGAAGTGGGCAACCCAGGTTGGTGGGTATGGGAAATAGTTCCAGGAAGACTGTGGGGACAGGGTAAGGATGCCAGAAAAGAATGTGCTGGAATGGAATGGAAGGCTTCACCTGTAGGTTCTTAGCCTGCTTCTCTTCTCTTCCTGGCCAGGGCCCTGAGGAAGGCTCTGACCCATCTGGAAATGCGCAGAGCTGCCCGCCGGCCCAACTTGCCCCTAAAGGTGAAGCCTCCGCTGATTGCTGTGCGGCCCACAGTTCCGCTGCCTGCACCCGCACATCCTGCCAGCACCAGTGAACCCATTGTTCTGGAGGATTGAGCATCTGTGGGGAAGGGAGGTGGGCTGAAAGCTGGAGGTGGGCGCCCAGGGCGTGCTGCCTCCCTTCCCTCCAGTATCAGGGAGTGAGCAGTGAGGGGAGAGGGAGCGCCTGTGCCCTTGGAGGGGCTGGCGCCCTCTGGTGTTACTACTTCTGAGGCTTGTCCCCTTCCTCTGCTTCTCCAAGCCTAGGGATGGAGGGCCTACTGCAGGAATTTGGCCCATTGTGGGAACCTAGCCTGTTTTGGGGGATAGGACCCACAGTTATATTCTTGGACAGTTTTGGGGGGAGGGTTTTTTAATTTTTTAAAAATTTTGCCTCCCTTTGTCAAAGGGGATGGGGAGGGGAAGAGTAAACATATCAGGTTGTGGCACCTGGTTGGGGGAGGGGGCGTGCATAATTGAAAATGCCATGTCTTTTTTTTTTTTTTTTTTTTCCTAATTGGGGGTTTCTCTTCCTGTCCGGTGTCCGGACTTTCCTATTTGGAGTTTGAGGCCCATAGCTGGCATCAACCCCAGCCCATGCTCGCTCTTTCCTTCCCTCCCCTCACCCCTCTGCCTTTTGTACGCCAATTCTCAGAAATAAAGATCTTTTGTCCGTTTTTTTAACCTCGGATTCTGTAATTGGTTCTTATAGTAACAAATAAAAAGCTGTTTTCTTCAGCTCCTCCTGGCTCAGCTGTTCTCTGCCCTGGGTGTGTGTGGGAGGGGTGTGCGTGTGTCTTCAATTAGGAAAATACAGGGCAATAAAGAAGGTAGAGATGGGGCTTGTGCTGGGAACAGCTTTGTGAGTTTCGCAGTGGGGACAGGTGTACTGTTCCAGGAAGCTCGAGCTTTCTTGCAGGACTCAGACTGCTCCCTAGCTCCCTGTGTGGCTGGAGCCCAAGCGCCATTTGGCTCAGAGACATCCAAGGTGGTTGGGATGAGCTGGTTTTCTGGGTTAGGGGTGACTTCATACGGAGGGATGGAGGTGCTCTTTCCACTTTGCCGCCTAGCCAGTACACTCCGCGCGGCTCTGCTGTGGAAGGGAAGCCCAGCTCACCCAGACTGCCACCGGCTGCTTGTGGCTCCGTGGAATGCGGCCAGTGCCTGGTGGGAGGTGGTCGCAGTATACCTACTTTGGGAGGGGACCAAGGGCAGAAGGAGAGTAAGTTTTGAGGGGGTTCAAAGTACAGAGTGGGCTTCGTGGAGGTTGCTACCCTCCGCCTTCGTTCGCCAGGTAAACATGGGGTGGACGCCGCGGCGCGGTTCTCCCACTGCCCCTTGGAAAGGAGCACAGCGCGCAGCCACCACGCGGCTAGGAAAGCGCAGCTGTCAAGCAACCTGCGCCTAGACGCCGGCCTTTGTGGTTGCTGTTATAAATATTCACGATTCTTTGAGCCAATCAGTGCCTGAACAGCACACAGCCCACCAATCGGCTCCCCGCATGCAGATGAGCTTCGCAGACCGGAGGTTTTTCCTAAAGTCGGTAGAGAATTAGCAGTGGCTGGAACCGGAACCCGAGCGGGAGGAGCTCGGTTTCCGGGGGAGTGTGCCTGCGCGATTGGCCTACGCGATGTCACTTCCTGTTGAACGGGAGGATGTTCTGAAGGCGTTAGGGTTTGGAGTGAGTTCCGGTGGCAGCACGATTCCTCGCGTGTTGTCGGACCGGAGAGTCGCGATGGCGGCGGTGGATTCGGATGTCGAATCGCTCCCGCGTGGGGGTTTTCGCTGCTGCCTTTGTCACGTTACTACAGCCAACCGTAAGCGGTGGCTAGCGAGGGGGTGGTTGTGGGCTGTCTTTTGGATCAAGCGAGAAAGTTAGGTCCTAGTTCTGGTCGTGGCGGTGGGCAGCGTCACTCACCTCCTTTTTCACTCTACGAGTCCGAAGGGATTAGGGAGCAGGAAAAAGGCCCACCACCTCACACCCTCCTTCCTGGTATCTGCTTAACCGTTGTGCGTGCTCATTTCTGTGCTGGTATTCTACTGGGCTCTGGGGTGAGAGGAGGCACCCCAGAGATGAAGGGACTCACCGTGTAGTGATGGGGACCACTTCAGTGTGCGCCGCAGAAATGTTTGGACAGCCGTAGGATCACAGAGAAGGAGTAGGGACCGCGCAGCAGGGACAGAGACGGGTAAAGTAGCAGCACATACATGACTGGAAGGTGGGTGTGGAAGGTAGGTCCCTGCATGACCGTCCAGAGCTGCTTTGAAGTTCCGAATTCCACTTTTGAAGTCTGAAATTACCTCCCCTAAAAGGGGGTCCCCGCCTGTCTTTTTCTTTGTGAATGGCCCTATCACTGTCTGTCCAGTAGGGCAAACCAGAACCAGAGTCTTCCCTGGTCCTACATGTACATTGGTAAAATCAATCAGCCAGTTCAAAGTATCATTTTAAAAAAGGCAATAGCTACCTTTTTTCACATTTATCATGCACCAGACTCTCAACAAAGTGCTGTGTATGAATAACATGTGGTAGCTATTTTATGTGACATGTAGTTAATTTTATATGACACTGATGCACAGAGGTTAACTAACTTGCCCAAGGTCACACACAACTTGTCAGAGCTGAGCTTTTAGCTTGCACTTGCAATCTTTACCCCATACTCAGAGCCGATTCAAGGGCAATGATCTGGGTCCTGATTTAGTTAGTTCTGCATATGACTTGGAGAAGTCACCTATTAATTTCTTTGCAATTTGCAGGTGTCGCTCTACTTAACACTTATTAGGTGGCTTAAGAAATAGCTGCTGTGGTTGCCAGTCCCGGAACCACTTAGACACAATGCACTATAGTGACGGACGGGAGGAAGGTGAAAGGGGCTGGGCTTAGTTTAGTCACAGGTCACATTTTCTGTGGCTTTGGAAGGGTCAGTGGGGTTTAGGGGTGCTGGGGTCAGGTACACTGAAGATTGATTTGGTTATTTTTGTTTCATGTTTGTCTTTGCAGGACCCAGCCTAGATGCCCATTTGGGAGGCCGGAAGCACCGGCACTTGGTAGAACTAAGAGCTGCCCGTAAGGCCCAGGGACTTCGAAGTGTGTTTGTCAGTGGCTTTCCTCGCAATGTGGATTCTACTCAGCTCTCTGAATACTTCCAGGCATTTGGTCCTGTGGCCAGTGTTGTCATGGACAAGGACAAGGTAGCATGATGACTGATTTGGTGTGTGGGGGGCGTATATAAAGAGGTAGATGTGTGTAAGAAACTAGCAGCTTGGGACCCTCGTTGGTGGTACATGGGTTAAAATCTCAGCACTATCAAGCTATCACTGCCAGCCAGTGTGGCAAGAGTTCAGTCTGGACCAGGAGGCTGACACACATGTTGCAGCAGACCTCTCCTGTCTCCCCGCTGCTCCCCTCAGCAGTGTGCTTCAGTAGCTCTGCCTGTCCTCACCACTCTGTCTCTGGTGAATCCTCTTATCCCCTGCATCACTGGCCTATACCCCAGCTCTTGTATACATAAGTAAAAATAAATCTTTGGAAAAAAGAAACCAGCAGCTTGGATCAGATGGTTCCTACTATGACTCATTCTCGGTGGACACCGCAGTACTTGGACTGGTCCAGTCTGCGAGCCTCTCACCTGTCATGTCCTCCCCTCCTTCTCCTCCTCCAGTAGATTTTAGCAACTCACCAGGTTTAGTTATTGGGGAGCTTGTTTATCATTTATTCAGCTGACCTTTTATTCTACTTGCCAAGTATTAACTAACTTTGTACTATGCATGCTTAGAGCTGAATTCTGGGAAGTGAACTGGATAGACCTAGCCCCTGTTCACACAGAGCTTAGTCTTGCTGAGAAAACAGACATTTTTGTCTACTGCCAGATTGTGTTTGGGTTCTTAGTGCCGCTCTTGTTGTCTTCCAGGGCGTGTTTGCCATCGTGGAGATGGGGGACGTGGGTGCCCGAGAAGCTGTCCTGTCTCAGCCCCAGCACAGCCTCGGCGGGCAGCGCCTGCGAGTCCGGCCACGGGAGCAGAAAGAGTTCCAGAGCCCAGCATCCAAATCCCCCAAAGGTGCTGCTCCTGACAGTCACCAGCTGCTCAAAACTCTCGCGGAGTCGCCAGATGTGGGGGCGCAAATGGTTAAGCTTGTGGAGCTCAGGGAATTGTCTGAAGCTGAGCGGCAGCTCCGGAGTCTGGTGGTGGCCCTGATGCAGGAGGTGTTCACAGAGTTCTTCCCTGGTGAGCCGCCGGCCACTGCGTCTGAGCCCTCCCTGTGCCTGCTCCTTCGTGCCTGCACCCCGGTCCTCTCTCAGCTAGATGTGGTCACTTCATGGCTCGCCCGAGTCTGTACCCCATTCTGTTCTCCCACCCTCATGTTCTGCAATGTCTCCTGACTTTCATTCTCTACTCGGCACCCAGGCTGTGTGGTCCATCCTTTTGGCTCGTCTGTAAACAGCTTTGACGTTCACGGCTGTGATCTTGACCTCTTCTTGGATCTGGGTGACTTGGAAGAGCCCCAGGTGAGTGGCCAGTGGTGGAGGGGTTGGATTCATGTGACTCCAGGCCAGCCATTCCCTGCCTGCCTTAGTTCCTCCTCAGGGCAGTCCTGTGGGGACAATGGGACCCATGGGTTGTCATAATGGGAGAAAGTTGAATGTAGATGGGTGTTGGAAAGGATGAAGATTAACTTGAATAGGAGAGATGGCAATTTGAAGTAGGTAATGATGTAATGGACAATGTCTTGTTTTGGAAAACATCTGTTAGAGAGCGCGTGAAAGGTCATTTGGAGATTGTGTTTCGGCTTACCTGTATTTTCTAACAGCTAATACTTGTGGAATAGCAAAGGGTTATTATTATTGTTTTAAAGATTTATTTTTGTTTTTGCATACAAGAGCTGGGGTGCAGGCCAGAGGTGTGTGTGTGAGAAGATTCACCAGAGACAGAGTGGGGAGCATTAACAATGGATCTACTGAAATACACTGCTGGGGGGAGCAGTGGGGAGACAGGAGAGGTCTGCTGCACTATGTGGATCACTTTCCTGGCCAGGGATTGAACTTCACAGTGCTGCGATTAACTCCTTGCACCCCATTGTTATTTTTAAAGGACTTTTGAGAGCAATTTTAGTTTCATAGCAAATTTGAGTAGATAGTACAAGCTTCCCGATACCTTCTTTTCTACAAAAATGGTCATTTTAAAATAACCTTTTCTCATTCTTTCTCTTCTCTACACTCTCAGTTTTATGAGTAATATGAGCGCAGGTTGTCTCCATCTTGTCCCTCTGCCCCTGACTATTCCAGACTTGATTACCTAAGACCAGGCGCACTCCCGGGGCAGAGCTGTCGGGCAGGTGCAAGTGTGCAGTTGGACAGGCCTTTGCCATTCCAGCTGTGTCAGCCCCCCCCAGCAGTGGGTGGTTGTGCTGCCCCCCTGTGCCTGCCCCCCTTCCCCCAGCAGTTCCTGGCCTGCCTTTATCTTTCATGGTGATGACGTTTTTTATAGAAGACAATTTTTTTATGACATTAAAAGGTTCTTTTTAATTTTAAAAGTACTGTGAGGATTACATGAGTTAAAATATGTATCAGGGCTTTAGAATAGGGCCTGGCACGTGACACGCAGTAGATGGTAGATACGTCTTGGAGGTGGGGTGCTCCCCGGGTAGCAGACAGGAGAGGAGTTCACTCAGCTCATGTCCATCTGCAGCCAGACCCAAAGACTCCAAAGTCTCCATCCTTGGACTCAGCGCTTGCTTCCCCACTGGATCCTCAAGCCCTGGGCTGCACCCCAACTTCCCCTCCAGACTCGCACCCTCCAGCGTCTCCTCAAGACTCAGAAGCCCTGGACTTTGAGATCCCTTCCTCCTCCCTGGCACCCCAGACTCCAGACTCTGCTTTGGCCTCTGAGACCCTGGCCTCACCCCAGTCCCTGCCTCCAGCCTCACCACTGCAGGAAGACCTGGGGGAGAAGGAGCTGGGCAAGGCCCTGGGAGCAGCAGAGGCGCTGAAGGGGGAGAGGACAGAAGGGGAAACCATGCTGGAACTGGTGGGCTCCATTCTGCGGGGCTGCGTCCCTGGAGTGTACCGGGTCCAAACTGTGCCCTCTGCCCGGCGCCCTGTAGTCAAGTTCTGCCATCGGCCTTCAGGGCTCCACGGGGACATCTCCCTCAGTAACCGGTACCTTTGTGTGGGGGGCACGGGGTGGGGGTGGCTGGGGAAGGCCAGCCGAGCCTTCTGGGGTGGGTGAGGGGGGAGCCTGGTTTGGGAGGCTCCGGGCCCAGCCACTTCCACTTTCTGCCCCTCATCTCCCGTGTGTTTCTTGGACTATTTTTCAGGGATTTAGAAGAGTTCGGCGGTTGAGTAAGTTTGGGAAATGTGCAGTTAAGTGCACAGAGGCTTTTACCTTCTCTGTCCCCGCCTCCCATTTTCTCTCTCCTCTCTCCCGCTCCATCTCCCCCTCCATTTCTCTGCACATCCAAGGCCCAGAGCAGTCTTATCACATGTTCTGTGAGCCTAGCTTTAGAACATGTTTGATGTTCTTTTGTGCACTCTCACAGGACCAGTGTGTCTGTAAACATTTCGGGAAACCCTCTTGTGGGTTTCTCCCAGCTGGGTCTGGCTTCTGAAACCCGGGCCCCTGTTTCTTTTGTCACAGCCTGGCTCTGCACAACTCCCGCTTCCTGAGTCTCTGCTGTGAGCTGGACGCACGCGTTAGGCCCCTCGTCTATACTCTTCGCTGCTGGGCCCAGGGTCGAGGGCTGTCAGGTGAGGGAAAACCAGGACAGAGTGGGGTTGAGGGGGTGTCTGGGCAAAGCAGGGACTTGGAGAGTGGAGGGAGTTGAGAAGATTGCCAAGCAGAGGTGGAAGCGCCTCTCCTAACTGGAATTACCCCTCACCAGGCAGCGGCCCCCTTCTCAGTAACTACGCCCTGACCTTGCTCGCGATCTATTTCCTTCAGACCAGGGACCCGCCTGTGTTGCCCACTGTGTCCCAGCTCACCCAGAAAGCAGGTATCGCAGCCCACCTGCACTTTCTCCACCCCTCCTCCCCTCTCCCTGCTCCCATGTTGACCCTGACCTTTTCTGCTGGCTGTTGCAGGTGAGGGAGAACAGGTGGAGGTGGATGGCTGGGACTGCAGCTTCCCCAGAGATGCCTCGAGACTGGAGCCCAGCACCAATAAGGAGCCCCTGAGTGAGTATGGGAAGGCTGCGCAGAGCACGCACCATGGGTGCTCATCGCTGGAGTGGCTCCACCTGCCACGGTGACTGCATGCTGGGAGTGGTTCTGGGATCATGGATGTCATTATTGCCGTTTTACTGTGAGGAAGCCATGCCTTTCGCCGTGCCCTGAGGGGGCTCGCCCAAGTTACAGTCTAGCAAGTCTAGCAAGGGGAGGAGCGGCATCTGGAAAACACATGGCCACAGGGGAGAGGTGCGCTTTTCTGAGGCAACTGGGAAGGGACAAAGTCCCGCCCAGGGGATGGTTCGTGCAGGGCCTGTGTTCCTTCTGGCCTGGAAGTAACCCCTTTTTCCTGCTTTCCTCATCTTGCTTTCCTCATCTTCCAGGTTCCCTGCTAGCCCAGTTCTTCGCCTGTGTGTCTTGCTGGGACCTTCGGGGCTCGCTCCTGTCCCTGCGGGAGGGTCAGGCGTTCCCGGTGGCAGGGGCCCTGCCGTCAGATCTCTGGGAGGGCCTCCGTCTTGGTCCCATGAATCTCCAGGACCCTTTTGACCTGAGTCACAACGTGGCAGCCAATGTGACCAGCCGGGTGGCTGGGCGGCTACAGAACTGCTGCCGAGCGGCAGCCAGTTACTGCCGAAGCCTCCAGTTCCAGCAGCGCTCCTCCCGGGGGCGTGACTGGGGATTGCTCCCCCTTCTGCAGCCCAGCTCCCCGAGCTTCCTGCTGTCTGCAACCCCCATCCCCTTACCCTCTGCTCCTTTCACCCAGCTCACGGGTGTCCTGGTCCAGGTGTTACGGGAAGCATTGGGGTGCCAGATAGAACAGGGAACCAAGAGACTGCGGTCAGAGGGAGGTGGAAGTGGGGAGTCTGGCCAGGGAGGGACAAGCAAAAGATTGAAATTGGATGGACAGAAAAAGAGCCAGAAGGAGGAGCCACAGGATTGCGTGGTGAATCGCAGCGAAGATGGAGTGGAAGAAATGGTGGTAGAGGTTGGAGAGATGGTGCAGGACTGGGCCATGCAGAGCCCTGGGCAGCCCGGGGAGCTTCCCCTGACCCCTGGGAATCACCTCGTCGCTGGAGAAGAGGGGCGGTCAGACTGTGCAACCCTGGCAGAACCGGGGTCCAGGGGACCCCAGTCAGTACAAGAAGGGCCGCAGGGGGAGCCGGGGAGGGGGGGATTGCTTTCCTCAGTGAGCTGGCGCTGTGCCTTATGGCATCGGGTATGGCAGGGTCGGCGGCGCGCACGGAGGCGCTTGCAGCAGCAAACCAAGGAAGAAGGTGGAGGCTGCCCTGGCACCAAAGCAGAGTGGCTGGCCACTGAGGCTCGGGTGACCCAGGAGCTAAGAGGACTGAGCAGTGCTGAGCAGGGGCCACAGGCCCAGCCACTCCTGACCTTTGTGGCCTCGGCCTCCCAGGCTGACCACACATTCACCATGACCCCCCTCCAGGACTCCCAAGGCCTGTTCCCTGATTTCTATCACTTCTTGCAGATTTTCCTTCCTCAGGCACTTCGAAATCTCCTTAGGGACCCTGAAGGGCAATAAAGCTGCTAACTTAATAAACACTAGTCTCCTCTGGTTTCCACTGGGTGATAATCCTTCCCCTCAGCCATCCCCCCTCCCCAGATTTTAATGCAGCCCTCTCAGAGGTGCCTGTTCTGGTCACCTTAAGAATTAAGTATCAGTCTGTACAAAACTGGGGTACAGGCCAGAGGCGCAGGTGCGGTGAGAGGATTCACCAGAAACAAAGTGGGGAGCAGAACAGGCCGATTTACTGAAATCGACTGCTGAGTGGAACAGTGGGCGGGTCAGGAGAGGTCAGCCGCACCATATGGTCACTCACCTCTGGGGCGGGGATCGAGCTTATGCAGCAGTGGCTTTAGCTTCTTAGTGCTGTGCTTTAAGCAGCTGCACCACCAGGGAGGGCCCCGGTTTTAGTATTTTTAAAAAGATTTATTTATGCACATAAAAACTGGGTTGCAAGCCGGAGTGGGGGGTGGGTGTGGGTGAGAGAATTCACCAGAGACAGTGTGGAGCAGAACAGGCAGATCTACTAAAACAACACCGATGAGGGGCGCAGCAGGGAGACAGGAGAGGTTTGCTGTGCCCTGTGGGTCAGTCAGCTCCCAGCCTAGGATCACAGTGGCTGCCATCTAGCTTGATAGCGCTAGAAGCTTTAACCTTTTGCCACCAGAGGCCCTCATCCCATTTTTATTTGGGGAAAAGGGTTTCAGGCCTGATCACAGTTATAGGGCAACCTAACAGGATTTGTTTTATCGGTAAGCCCCTCCCAAGTGACGGGGGTGGGGGTGGGGGGTGGGGATAGGGATGGGGTGGGTGTGTGCTCCCTGGCCCCTGCTCCCCTCCTCGCGGGTCAGAGGTCTAGGGCCCCTCTAGAAATAACAGCGTCTTATCGCGGCAGGGTGTTCCAACTTTGTTGGAAAGTCAGAAAACCTGACTTTCCCGGAGGCGTTTTCAGACTTGGGCTGCCATCCATTCCCGGTCTCTAGAATAAACCAGCGCGGGAACCCAAGGCACTCGGCGGGCCGCCCCTCCCGCGCTCTGAGAACCACACCAGCTGATGCTGGGATCTGACAGGGCTCCCACCCAATCACTTGTGGCTGGGTCTCACTGGAACCGCGACTCAGAAGGGGAGGCCTCTGCCAGGCCAGCCACGTAGGTGCCAGGGGGCGGCCTTCCAGCCGGTTCTCACAGTTTTCCCACCCTCCGCACCTCCACCGCCTCTTCGGGCCTCGGATTGGCCATCCCTAGACGCGGCCCGGCCAAGGGTCCACTGCGCAAGCGCGAGCCTTCCCCGCGCCCGCCCGCAGGCCCCACCCCCTTTTTCCATCTCGGGCGGAGTACTGAACTGTCGTGCGTATGCCTTCTATGCCGTCCTCGCTTTCCGGCTGCTGTTTCTGTACGGCTCTCCCCTGACCGCCCCCTCCCTTCTCTCCCTGGCGGCGTACTTTGCGGCAGCGCCAAGAGCCCCACCCCCTTTCTCTGCGGAATCACCATGGCGGCTGGGGTAAGTTTGCCGGCTCTGGCCATCCAGGTCACCCTATCCGACGCCATCCTCTTCCCGAATGGGGCCAACCGGCGCCAGAGGAGTTCTGGGGCCGAGAAGGGGACTGATCAGGACTCTAGACATTGTGCTGTCGGAGAGCAGGGCGTCCAGGCCCTGGAGGGGAACTGAGACTGGAGCTCTCCGAGGCCAAAGAGGTGGAAGAGTCTGGGAAAAGGAGAAAAGAAATGTCAGATCCTGGCCCTCTGGGGCCCGAGAAAGGATTCGGGTTTATTGCCGCCGCGAGGCAGGCGATCTGGGCAGATTGACAACTTTTGAGACCGTTTTGTGGGGCATCAGTAGGGACAGGGTGACGAGAAGGGTCTTTGTGGGTCTGTATGGCTGGCCACGACTAAGGTCGCTCCTCAGGGCGGTTTGGGAGCGACAGAGGTCGCCGGACGGTGCACTTGGACCCCACGGGCCAGGTTAATAGGAGAGAAGGCGACACCGGAGAAGTCAGGGAGGGACGGGACCGGAGGGATGTATGCGTGACAGGGAGAGAGAGGCTTTTTCTGGGAGAGGAGCTGGTTGAGGAGGAGAAGGTACCCCTCGCTGTCTCCGTGGCTGTCCGGAGGGGAACTCGGGAATCTCTTGCGCCCTGTGTGAGTCTTGGAGACGTGGCTGGCCCTCTGGAAGGGGCCGGGCGCTGGAGCAGGCGCTGGGAAACCATCAATGAATGAAACGGGGCGATGGGAGGGGTGGGGTGCATGTAGGCAGATGGAGTCTCCGGGAGCCTGAAGTTCTGGGTATCTTGGAGATTATGTTTGAGGGGAAGAGACTGCTTGTAGTAGATGTCCTTAGGGAAGGTCAGCTCTGTCAACAAGCTTTATTTAGCAGCTGCTGTGTAGTTGTGTCCCGGGATTGGGGAAGGATTCTGATTACACATGACAGATAGCAGGGATTTGATTCACCACGGGGAGTATAAAAGTGAGCTGAAAGGGTTGGGAAATCAGGGAGGGTATCCCCGGGGTGGCCTGCACAGAGACCCCTTTTCCTCTAATGTCAGCACCCTTTTTTTCCCCCTTGCACAGACCCTGTACACATACCCTGAAAACTGGAGGGCCTTTAAGGCTCTCATTGCCGCCCAGTACAGCGGGGCTCAGGTCCGCGTGCTCTCCGCACCACCCCATTTCCATTTTGGCCAAACCAATCGCACCCCTGAATTTCTTCGTAAATTTCCAGCCGGCAAGGTGAGTAGAGAAGTAGAGGGGGGCCTCTGGTCTTGAGACGCCTGGGATTCTGTCACTCTGAAGTTGCCTTCCATCTTTGAAAGGAAGCTTTCTGTTAATTTGGGGGGGGGGCGGGGGGCACATTTCAGTGTGCCAGAACGTTTCTGTAAGAGAATGGTAGATTCACTTGTATTTTAAAATGACAGATACTCAGTGGTCTTAGTCAATTCACAGGCTTCTGGGTGTTGAAGGAGTTTTTGATCAAGCGTTTTTCATCCCTGTTGTGCACATCCCCCCCCCCTACAGTCATAACCATGCCAAGGCTTGAAGAGATCATGGCTGGGATTCTTTGGACGTTACGGATGAAGATTTGGTTTCTGGCCTTTTGCTTATTTGAGGGACTTGATGTGAATAGTCAGGAAGATCTAAACCTCCAGGGTTTCTTAAGTGCTCTGAGTTCAGATGGCAGAGGAGACCAAATTACTCAAGTATTTGTTTCCTGAGTTTCAGATAGCATCAAGAATTTAGTTGGCAAGGCTTATATGAAAACTTACAGGAGCATTTCAGTTCCTGGGGGTTTCTGGTGGGCGAGAAATTACTGTGTATTTCCCTTCTCTTATAACTGCTTTGTTGCCAGGTTCCAGCATTTGAGGGTGATGATGGATTCTGTGTGTTCGAGAGCAATGCCATTGCTTACTATGGTAATTTGCAGTGGATGTGGGAATGGGTGGGTCTGGAGGTGAGGGATGTCGAAGGGGATGAAGATGAGCTGGAGTGGACAAGGTGAGGGATTTTGAAGGACCTGGTTTGCTGCTGGCACAGCTCCAAAGTTTTGACCTTTGTGTTCTTCCTCTGCAGTGAGCAATGAGGAGCTGCGGGGAAGTACTCCAGAGGCAGCTGCACAGGTGGTACAGTGGGTGAGCTTTGCTGATAGCGACATCGTGCCCCCAGCCAGTACCTGGGTCTTCCCTACCTTGGGCATCATGCACCACAACAAGCAGGTAAGCCTAGAACTTGGGAAGAAGCTGGGGCAGGGATAACATTAGTTGCTGAGTGTCAGGAAATATGATCAACTGCAGGAAGGATGACAAGAACATGTGAGTTATAAAAATTTAGTGTTTGGGGAGTAGGTGTGGAACCCTGGTCTGTTGCTAGTATCTGAGTTCTTTGTTAGAGAGGACCCATTGGGAGTGGTGTCCCATCATGAGTGGTCAGAGGGAGACACCAGTTGACAGCGGAGTGGTTAGACTGAGTGGCTGCAAAGATTGCTTCTGAAATCCAAAGAGATGGTGGGAAATGAAGGTAGACTATTCCTGGAGAACATTTAGCTTTGAGCGTTTTAGTGGTGAGGCTTACAATGCTTCTAGACTGACTCCACTGAAGGAGGGTGGGGGCGAGCCAGAACTTGGGGAAATAGCTACCATAGTTCTACTAAAGGGGAGACAGAGGCTGAATAGTACTCACTGATAAGTTTGTTCCTTTTAAATCAATAGGCCACAGAGAATGCAAAGGAGGAGGTGAGGCGAATCCTGGGGTTGCTGGACGCTCACTTGAAGACAAGGACTTTTTTGGTGGGCGAACGAGTGACACTGGCTGACATCACAGTTGTCTGCACCCTGTTGTGGCTCTATAAACAGGTGACGGTTATAAAGAACCAGATTGGGGGTGGGATGGGGTTAGAAACAAAGTGACAGGTCTAGGGGACCCTGTCATGCTGAGGACATGGATGTGAGGGGTCCCAGGGCCAAGTACAGGCTGCTTTCTCTACTAGGAAGTTTGGTTATATCATTGTCTCAGTTTCTATTGGGCAACCAGGATGTTTAGTTCATTCCCATGTTTCTTGGGGCAGCCCAGTTGTGTGTAGTTGTGAGGTCGGGTCAGGTGGTAGCTTCAGCTTCCACACTTGTCAGAGGTGGAATGAACATCAGTCTTTGACTTCCCTATTTACCTCTAAGTTGGGGGTGTGCGTGAGAGTTACTTTAATCCTGTATTTCCCTCTGCGTAAACTGGACAGTCCTAGTCCCTGTGAGGTTATGGGGCAAAGAAGACGATGTGTTACTTGGTTCCCAAGCAGCAGCTCTTGGGCTGCTGCTGGTCCAGAACAGTCGTGTGATAATGCCCTAGAAAAAGCATCTTTCAATGCAGGCCCAGCCAAGGCCTTACTGGCATGTCTGGGTGAATCTTCGCGCCTGCCTGTGGGGGAGGAGGCATGGACCCGTCTGAGGGCCGCAGCTGTAGTTGGTGGGGTGGGATTTGAAGGCATGTGCACAGAAGTGCTCCCAAACGGATTTCTCTGGGACAAGGCTTTTTATTTATTTATTTTTGGCCTGATCTTGGCAAACTGAAAAGTAAAGGAATTTTTAAAATTTTTTTTAATAATAGTTTGTTTTTACATCAATTTGTGCCTTTTTCTATCTCTGTTGTAATCCCCATCACCGATTCACTCATGTGCCATCACCGTAGTCCCGTGCACTCCCTTTTCCCTAATTTTGATCCCATTCCCCACTCCGCCCCTGGAAAATGTCTCCGATGTATACTTGTTCATTATTATTATTTCCCCCCCTGGTCATTTATGCTCCTGCTATGAGTGAAACCATCCGGTATTTTTCTTTAAAAGTAAAGGAATTTTTATGAAACTAAGTTAAAGAACTGGCTTTTACTCTGAAATAAACTTTTTTTGCTGTTGATTGTTCATTTGCTATCTGCAATTTGCAAATATGTGTCACATAATTAACTAGAGTTTTTACTTTATTAAACAGAATGAGCAATTGCTAATTCTCTGGTTCCTCCAGCCATTATTATTTTTTAAAGTTTATCAAGATGTCAGATTGTACAGGCACAACCTGTGGTTCCTACCACAGGTCCTGGGAATGGAGGGTGGGAGAGAGCATCCATTCAGTTGGACTGGATTGCAGAAAAGAGAAGTAGCTTTCCAGGGAGAGGTGGTATTTGTTGTGAGGAACTGTTTCCTGGGAGTGGAGGTGAGGGGAAAAAACGACTTGAACCTCAGACTTGAACCTCTGCTGACCTGGTTTTCATCCTCACCTGGCAGGTCCTGGAGCCTTCTTTCCGCCAGGCCTTCCCCAATACCAATCGCTGGTTCCTTACCTGCATTAACCAGCCCCAATTCCGGGCTGTGTTGGGGGAGGTGAAGCTTTGTGAGAAGATGGCCCAGTTTGATGGTGAGTGAGGAGGTTGGGGAGAGTCCCTCCGGGGCTGGGGCGGGGGCAGCTTGGTGCCGTCTCAGAGTGACTTCTCGTCTGGCTTTTGGGTAGGACATCACATGTACATGTAGTATTTAATGTTTTGAGACGAGTCTTTATGCACACATGTACCTGTTTGTGGCGGTCTAGAGCTACAGTGTCTGTGCTTCGCTGCTGGGGGCAGTGTTCCAGCCCAGGAGCGCGCCGTGAACCAGCGGCTGGTGGTATAGAGCTGAGGCCTGTCGTTGCCTCATCCTGACCCTGCTTGCTGCCTGGCTTTGGAGGGATGTGAAAGGAAGTACTGACTCTGCTGCCTTCCTCTGCACCCAGCTAAAAAGTTCGCAGAGAGCCAGCCTAAAAAGGACACCCCACGTAAGGAGAAGGGTTCTCGGGAGGAAAAGCAGAAGCCCCAGGCTGAGCGGAAAGAGGAAAAGAAGGCAGCTGCCCCGGCTCCTGAGGACGAGATGGACGAATGTGAGCAGGCGCTGGCTGCCGAGCCCAAGGCCAAGGACCCCTTTGCCCACCTGCCCAAGAGGTAAGATCTAGTGGAGGGTAATAGTCTCTCTGCCCACCCGTCTATAGCCTCTTGCACAGAATGGGCCCAGCACTTGGTATTTTCCCTACAAAATTGAAAGGTATATTTTAGTTGCACATGAAGTCAACTTCCTGGATTTCTCCCAAAAGTTGGGTGAAGTTTGAAAATAGAAAGCAAGTTTAAATGCACCTCATGTTTGGGACAGTGCACACTTTGCAGGCAGGAAGGGACAGAGCTGGTGTGGGGGGGTGTGTATTAGTCTTGAACAGGTTTCTGGAGATTTGAGGTGCAGGGAGGAATGTGCCGAGAGCCTGGCATTTGTTGGCTCCCCATGGCAGCAGCCTGCACCACATCTTGAGAAAGTGTGACCATGACCTTGTAGCCTGCCTGGTTTGTGGTCTCCCAATCCAGGGGCGTGACTCCTCAAGGAGAACGATGTAGATGGGGTGTTCATCTGTCCTTGCTTCAGTGGAAGCAGCTCGTGGACGAAGGAATGCATGAAGGGAAGGGCAGGTTTTGGTGTGGGGCAGGGGGCATCTGTTACTTGTCCACTTCTCTACCGTCAGCCCCTGCCATGTCATTCTGTGGTAAGCAGTGTGCAGGTTTTTTCCATGGACCCTTTACTCTTCCCCATTGCTCTGCCATTCTCAAAAGCCATCCATCCTCCTGTGGCTGGTGTGTGACCTGCAGGTGATAATCTGACGCAGGCACATGTGGCAGTGTTTCGAGGTATGAGTTGTAAACATCTTACTCCTGAAGTTTCAGTTAGGGCTTTCCATTGGGGAACAAGTTGGAAGAGCTTAGAGCTCATACACCCCATACACCAAGAGCCTGTATGATGTCGCTGCCCACTTGAATCTTCCGGAACTTATCTGCCTTGAGCGTCACAGGAACAGACCAGGTTTGAACAGGACTTTCGGTGCATGTAAATTACATGTCCTGTTGTTGAAGCTAAACTGAAGTATTAGCTAGAGACTGTCACGTGAGATGTATGGTAGTAAAGTGCCCTTCGGGAACGCTCTTACAGTAGTGCTTTCCTCAGCTGCCACTGTGGCTTTCTGGATTTTTAAATTTTTTTTTTCTTTCTAAATTTTTTTTTTTAAGCATTTACTTATTATTCATATAGAACTGGGGTACGGGCCAGAGATGCGGAGGGCGTTTCTGGATTATTTTTTAATGTCAAGAAGGTAATTACCTGCAAAGACCAAAGGCCCCTTTATCCAGGGTTAATTCTAGTCTTTCTAAGGCCTGTTAACTAATTTCATTTGCTGTTCTGAGGCTGTGGTCACTTGGAAAACATCGCTGTGTGCTCATGAACAGTAATGTTTGAACTGTGTAAAGAAGTCCATCCTTTTTGGGTGTGTGAGATTTTTTTTTTTAAGGTTTATTTATTTGTGTATACAGAACTGTGGTACAGGCTACAGGTGCTAGAGGGGCGGTGAGAGGCTTCACCAGGGACAGAGTGGGGAGCAGGACCAAAGCACACTGCTGAGGGGAGCAGCGGGCGGGCCAGGAGAGGTCTGCCGCGCCATGTGGTCACCTCCGGGGCAGGCGGGGATCGAACTCATGTAGAAGTGGCTTTATGTTCTTAGTGCTGTGCTTCAACCCGCTGCGCCACCAAGGAGGGCCCCTGGGTGTGTGATTTTTAAAGATGCTCATATGAGGTTTCTGATGTGTGTTTGGGAAGGAACATAAGATTTTAGGGTCAAAAAACAGATTCTCTGCTGCGTGTAACATGAGGTCAGACCTTCTGTGGAAAGGGATGGGGTGAAGGTCTCTAACTCTAGGGTGGTTGTGAGGTGTAAAATGTGTGCTAACCTGGCATTATTTATACTGAAGGAGTGGTTGAACCAACTGGGGTTTATAGGCTGATGGCACATTCGTTCATGTAGGTTAGTGAGCCAGGAAATTCTCTATAACATGTCATAGCATTAATGAATACATTATGATAGGGGCAGAAATTTACATTTCCAGCTTTAGGAAGTCAGGGAATACATAAGAACATTTATTGTTATCTTGCTTGCTGGCATTTTGGGTAATTTTCTTAAGCCAGCGTGTAATTCGGAAGGACTGAAACCCCTGCTGTGGGGGAGGGACCTCACTCTTGACACTGTTCTTGGCTTCAAAAAGAACTTGAACTTTAAGGGCTGTTCAGCATCTGAACTTGTTTCTGGGCAGAGTGACTTGAAGGACATGAAGGAAATACTTGGGGTGGAGTCCCTTTGAAAATGTTCCCCGCTTACATTGCTGTCATATTATAGTGCATAACCCGAAGAGGCCTGGGAGTAGGGGGAGAGACTTAGGTGAGTCAGAAAGCCCAGTGACTCCTGTGGGAGTGCCTGCAGGGGTTGGGCTGCCTGCGGCCGCTAGCCCTGGGAGTCAGAATCCACCTCTCCGCCAGGGGGCAGCAGTTAGTCATGCCTGTCTGCCTGCTGCCCTGCAGGCTGGTCCCCAGGTCCTGCACCCCTGGTGCTAGGGGTAAGGAGCCGGGGAGCAGTCTAGGCCCTGTTCATACCGGTCAGCGCAACTCCCTCATAGTTACGCGCACTTGCTCACCCAGCGACTTCATCCTTTAAGCTAAGCATTTGCATGAAAACACCCTTAGCTGCGTAACTACCCATGGTTGCTCCTGCAGCACCCTCCACTCACTGACCTCTCCGCTCTTGTCCTCTGCCCAGCACCTTTGTGTTGGATGAGTTCAAACGCAAGTACTCCAACGAGAACACACTCTCAGTGGCGCTGCCCTACTTCTGGGAGCACCTTGATAAGGATGGCTGGTCCCTGTGGTACTCTGAATACCGCTTCCCCGAGGAGCTCACCCAGACCTTCATGAGTTGCAACCTCATCACTGGTGAGAAGAAAGAAGAGGGTGTTTTGGGGAAGAGAAAGGGAGGACGAGATAGTAGGTGATGTGATTCCCAAGACTGAATGTTCCCTCGACCCTTCAGGAATGTTCCAGCGATTGGACAAGCTGAGGAAGAATGCCTTTGCCAGTGTCATTCTGTTTGGAACCAACAACAGCAGCTCCATCTCTGGAGTCTGGGTCTTCCGAGGCCAAGAGCTTGCCTTTCGGGTGAGAATGGTGGCGGTGGGGCGGTCCTCTCTCTTTAGGGCGGAGAGGTTACACTTTTATCCTAGGAACACTCAAGGAGTGTGTCCTGGGACCTGAGACATAGGTCTGAGCTGGAAGTGCGGGTGGCCCAGAACCCCCTAACCTGCTTCTTCTCCCTAGCTGAGCCCAGACTGGCAGGTGGACTACGAGTCATACACATGGCGGAAACTGGATCCCAGCAGCGAGGAGACCCAGACGCTGGTTCGAGAGTACTTTTCCTGGGAGGGGGCCTTCCAGCATGTGGGCAAAGCCTTCAATCAGGGCAAGATCTTCAAGTGAACACCTTGTCGTGGCCTAGCTGCCTGCACCTGCCTTTCAGGGAGAATGGGGGTCATTAAAGGAAACTGAACATTGAGCCCTTCCTGTCCCGCCTCCTTTGTGAGGGGTGCCTTCACAGGGGATAGCTAGTTGACACAGGGTGTTTCCTTTGCTCAGCGCCTCCAGAGAGAAGTCTTCAGAAGAGCGGAAAGAGGTCTCGCTCGCCTCAGTTGTGATTTTACTGCCACCTCCTGTGATAATTGCCTTTTAATTGGGGAAACTTGGATGCAGCCAGGGTGGGTGGTGTCATGGGCTCTAACTGCCTGATTCTTGGGGACCAGATTCCAGGCCTACCCCAGGGAAGGGAGAATTCCTGCTAACGGTGGTAAGAGCTGCCATCCCACAGCACCCGGCAAGGGGGCGGGAGGGACTTCACAGACTACCTGGGGAGGCAGGCAGGTGGCGGTCGTGGCTGGAGGACTGGATAAGCAGCGAAACCAGGCACTCGCAACGACACCCGCCTCTTGGCCTGCAGATCATCTCGGGCACCTCTGCTTTCTGACAAGGAAGTGGGGTTCAGAGGTTTAAGTAACCTGCCTGCTAGCACACTTCTCAGTTGGAGGCCAGTCACCTGCTCGGACCAGCGCTAGCCCGCCCCCCCGCCCTCCCCCCGTAGTGATTGGTGCTGCCCCTTTCCGAGCTGCTCGCCTGCTGCTGGTCCCTGCAGTTAGGACAGCTCGGTGAGGGCGGAGAGCTGGTAGCCCGCTCTGCATCCTGGGGCGGAGGTGGCTGTGGCTGCCTTTGGTGTCCAGGTGCACTTTCTCCTCCCACCCTCTTGGCTCAAGCGCAGAGGGAGTTTCTTGGCTCGAGAGGGGAAGAAGCTGACCATACCAGCTTCGCTTGGGCTCATTGGGTCCCCGGGCTGCTGCTGGCTGTGAGCAAATAGAGAGGGGCGCTGTGGTTGGGGTCCAGCTGGGTGAGGATGGGCTGTTCTTGCTCTGGCGTTTGCTCCCTGGCAGCCTATCTTGAGCTGGATCCAAACTGCTGCTGGCTGTCATGGTTGGGAGCATTCAGGGCTCTTGGGTAGGATCTCCATGCTGGCTGGGGTGTGTCCTCGGCTGGTTTCTGGGGCCTCACAGAACCTGTCAGACGCCCCTCCCAAGTTTTGGTTCCCACCACACCCCCTTCTTGGCTGGGTTAATCTTCACTACTCTCCTGGTAGCCAAAGATTTAGGCAAAAGACTCCAAGTGGCTGAAATAGGTTTAGGGTTGAGGGGGCAGGGCTGAGGCCCGTTGGAGCCCAAATGGGAAAAAGAGTGATGTGCTGGGTGGGCTAGATCTTGGGCCCTGCAGGCCTGGAAGACCACGTGGACGGGTTGAGTCTGGGCAGGGCAGTCTGCAGGAAGAATGACTCACCCGCACGTCCTGCCTCCTGTGCCTCTAGCTCTGGCAGTTTGGTGCAGAGGAGAGCGTCCAGGTTGGATGAGGCTGGGCCTGCGCTGGGGAGAAGGCCAGTACCTGCAGGAGGTGGGGGGTGAGGGGTGTCCTGGGGACTGGGGCAGGAAAACTCCGCGGGGTGAGCGGGAGGAAAGAGGTTAACAGCCGGAGTTTCTAGCGGCAGATGTGGGGCTGGAAAGAGGTGAAGTACATCTGGATTTGGTTAGGTCCCCGCCCTGCCCCGGGGAGGCCTGAGTCACCACTCCTCCACGATCTGGGCACCAGAGCCCTGCCAGTGGGTGTGTGGGGGGGCTTTCGATGCCCCTCCCTCTGTGGGCGGGGCGCACGTCGCCGTAGCCAATCAGAGCCCACTCCGGGGAGACATCTCCGGTTGCTGGGCGATTTCCCCCAAGTGCCAGGGCAGCAAGTGCCACCCGCGCCACCTAGAGCTGGCATCCCTGGCAGCCCACCGTGCAGCCCGTGCCCACCAGGCCTGGGGTCGCAGTGCGGAGGTCGGGGCTGAGAGCTGGGCGTGAAGTTTAGGGAGGGTGGGATGAGGGAAGGAGGACTCCCCTCCACCTTTAGGCCAAGTCGAGCTCCAGAAAGGGAGGTTGAGAAACTGGAGAGGGGGTCAGGGCTCAGGTGCCTCAGCAGACGAGTTCACACAGCCTCCAGTGTGAATGGCCTCACCTGTGCCGGTTTAGCTTGGAGATAAACCAGTGGATACTGGTTCTAGGCAGCTATTTATTTTAGCCTCGTTGGCCCTTTTGCTTAAGTCACTTATTAAAAAGCCAAAGCCTTTAAAGTCCTTCCAAGAAAGACCTAGATTCTGTCTTCTTTTTTTCACATCCTGCTTTAAGCTGGAGTTGGACAGCTGCAGCCCTCCTTGGGTCAGACCCATCCCACCAGCTGCCCACATGCCCCAAATGTGCCACATCCCCTGTGAAAGGTGGGGGAAGGGTCCAGAATGTTGAAGGGAGAAGAATGAAGCTCTTGGGAGGCTCCACCCAGTCATTGCTGAAATTAATACTATGATTTTCATAGCAACCGGCACTCGTCCCCACAACCCAGAACCTTCCCTCCACAGGGCAAATGGGCTTTCCTAGTTGGCTGCTGCTTCCCTGGCTCAGCCTGCCAGTGAGTGCACCTCCAGGACGCTAACTGCTCCAGCTCGCTCTGGTCCTCTGCATGTTTGAATGTAGCTTACCCTCTTCTCAATTCTTGCCCTAACATTGTGCAGCTGAAATGTTGGCACTCCTGAAAGGTTACAGAAACTATGCCACCTGCTCTTGTCTGTCTGCAGCCAGGCTGGCATGGCTCCTAGGAAAGGCTTCTTTCTCCTCCCATGGAGTTTCTGGGGTGTCCCAGAGCCTCAGGTGTCCCGGAGCCTCAGCACCCAAGGGATGGGTAGAGCTGGGAATAGTGGTGACTGGAGAGCAGCACTTTTTCTCGAGAAGCTCCCTCAGAGGTGGCATTCCCTGGGTGGGTGGGCCTCGTTCCAAGCTAAGATGTCCTTGGTGACCCTGTACCTCTGATGTTCTGGGTCTTCATTCTTGTAGCCCTCACCCCTCTGGCCTTCTTCCCCACCCCCTTTGTGTCCCTGATTTCTTCAAGATTCCAAAGGGAGATGTGGACCTATCTTGTTTACACAATGGGCAGGCCCTGGGCAGATCAAGGGGTTGGATGGTCAGCTAGGGTTTGGGGCTATTTCTGATGGGATCTGCCATGGAATGTGCCTCCCTCTACTTCCAGTTGCCCCCTCCCTCTGCACCAGGAACAGCTGTCATGTGAGGGCCTCTCCGCTGGCTCAGCCCTTCTGTAGTGATCCAACAGGCTTGCCAGGATGGGGGTGGATAGTGAGGATGGGCAGAGCTGAGGGCTAAATGAGGGAACCTGCTGGGAGGGGTGGAGAGGGGTGCCCACAGAGGGTAGGAGGGCTATGGAGTCGGCTGAGGAAGCGGGCTTGGCAAGGCTAGCGGGAGGAGCGCCGCCCGAGTAGGCCAGGGGGCAGTCTGCTGAGCTTAGGGTGCCAGCTGAGGAAGTAGGGCCTGTAGTAGGATCGGAAGCTTTGTAAGTGTCAGGAGAGTTACTGATAGCGGGACCCTGGCCAGTCATTCTCCAGGGAGATCCCAACTTCCCCTGACTCATCGGAAAGCCACTGGGTATCTTCCTACAAGTCCTGCTCTGTGTGGGGCCTGAGTCACCCACTTGCCTAGGGTGCTGGTTGCCCTGCCCCACCCACTCCTACTGTTAGCACAGGGGTCAGCAAACACACCTCTTGTTCCCCTCTCCTCACTGGTAACTGTCTTGCTTTGACTCAGATTCACAGAATGTACTTCATCCAGGGATTGCCCAAGTCATCCCTGTGTGTTACCCACACGGGCATGGGAGCCTGAGAGGGGAAGTGACTTATCGAGGGTACATGTAGTCTCTCAGCTGCTCCTGAGTCACTCTGGCACCCAAGATCAGGAGGGCGCTGCCCTCAGAATCTGAGGAATGGGTCTGGTGGACAAATCACGCTCGGTTTGGGAGGCCAGATGAGGGTGGTGTGGAAGGGATCCAGAGCTCCAAGTGGGGTGAGAAGCCGAAAGTGGAACAAGCCCGGGGCAGGGTCAGCGGGCTCAGTCCAAGTCCTGGGCGGCCAGAGGGCACAGGGTGTAGCAGAGGCGGGACTTCCAGTGACAGGAACCTCAACTATGCGGTGACTCAGGCTCTGGGCACCCTAGGCCCTTCCTTTCCAGCTCAGCCCAGCTCCTTAAACCAGCCCTGGAAGTGTGAGCAGAGGAGGGACAAACCCCGGGCTGCCCGCCCCCCTCCCTCAGAACTGGGGGAAAGGCAGAGGAAGTGGGAAAGGATGGGAGCAAGACAGATTCCAAAAAAGGGGAGAGGAGGTTGGTGCTCCCCTCTCTCTGGCCCCTCCCTGCTCCCTGCTGCAGAGGGGCGCTGGCTGGGTGGCTGCCAGTCCGTTCCGCTCCCTCCCTGGGCTCCTGTTTACTACTCTGCCCGCCCAGAATGGAGCTCAGCTCTAGGCTCTTCTCTCTTCTCTTCTTCCCTCCCTCCCTCCCTCCCTCCTTCCTTCCTTCACAGCCTCATACAATCGTATTTCACCACTTTTCCTGGATCTTGGGCCCCCACTGCCTATTCTGATTGCTCCTTCAGCACCACCACCCACAGCTTGCGGCCTGGGGCGTGGGCGATCTCTGTCCAGCCAGCCTCCTGCCTTTACCTGCCTGTCTTCCTGACCACTTCTGTTCCCTTCCTCTTGCCTGGACAGGCGTTCTCAGCCTTCTTTCTTCCCAGGGTCTGTAGTCAGATCCCAGAGAGCCTTAATTTGCATTCTGCCCGGTCCTGGAGATTTCAGTTAGGAGCCAGCAGAACTGGGGGTGCTAGGTGTCTGATGTGTTATTCTGGACTCCTCTGAAAAGTGAGGTTTAAGTCCAGGCTGCAATAGAATTGGGCAGGAGGAGGGTGATTTGGCCTTTGGGTTAGGGGTTTTTAGGGCTTGACAGTTGCTTAGGAAATGATGTTGGGATTCCAGAATCTCACCTAACTGGTTTGCCATTGGGGTGGAGAGGAAGATAGACGTGGGAGTAATGAAAGTGAACGGAGAAGGATCTGGAGCTGGCGAGAGTGCGCAGCTAGACTGACCGGTGTGGGCTGGGGGGAGTGGGGTGACTGAGACTGCAGGTGACTTCAGAGAAGCGTGGCAGTCATTGCTGTGCTTCTAAGGCTGAGGTGCCAAAGAGCCCCCACAGGGGGAAAGGATAGATGGCACCCGACACCTTTCCCGGAACATTGTGAAAAAAAAAACCATGATGGCCCTTGGAGGGGCAGACTCTTTTCTTGCCTGTAATAGATTTCAGAGAAGGGGACTGCTCTTGAAGGGAGGGGACGGGGAATCCCCGGAAGGGGCCTGCCCACAGAACTCCCCTCTGTGGTTGTCAAGGAAACACGCACAATAGGAACAAAACAGAAGCACGTTGCTTAGCAACAGAGGAGCCCAAGGTTCATCACTCACAGTTTACACAGACCTATCAGAGGTTCCCCCAGCCCCCCAAGGTGGGGTGGGAGCTGCACTTCTGGGGTATCCTGGGGAGGAGGAATCCTAGAGCCCATCTAGCCAATGAGTCTGGAGTCAGGTTCCGGTTGCCCTGAGGAAGGCGAAGGCTGATTCTCTCACAGAAAAGCCTGAAATCTTGAAGATAAGGTTTTCTGGCAGGGTTGGGAACGAGGAGACTCTTTGTGACTAAATATGAGTTGTATGTCCATGTGGGGGAGGAAGTAGCAGGTGAAAGACCTGGTAGCAAGATAATGTCCAATTTTCCTGGAACTCCGGCTTACTAGCTCCGGGACTCCCATCTCCTTGCAGTAGTGCCTGGAGGGCAGGAGCCATTGGTCTGGTTCTCTATTCCTTGTCCCCAGACCACAGCCCCCAGCCCCATCTTGGGCTGAGGAGGTGTGTGCAGCTGCACAGAGATCTGTGGGTTGGGGGGCAAGGGTGAGGGTGGGTTGGGGGGGGCTGGTCCCTGGAAGCTGGAGGGAGGCGCAAGCTTTGCTTTTTCCTCATGGGGCACTTGGGATGGGAAAGGGGGATGCTGAAAAGGTGCAAGATGCTGCTGTGAAGAGTGAGTCCTCTGTCTCTGGTGAATCCTCTCACCCCCCAGGCCTCTGGCCTACATCCCAGTTCTTGTATGAATAAATAAATAAATCAAAAAAAGAAAAAGAAAAGAGTGAGTACTTTGGGGGCTGTTATACATGTAGTTTATTCATTTTCCTCAGAAGGTGACTGGGCCCACAGCGAGGGCAGGAAGTGCCTGCCCTCAGGGAGCTTAGCTGCCAATCGATCAAAGGAGCTTTTGACTCCCACTCTGCCTTGTGTGTCTTTAGTAAATCACTAACCCTCCTCCCGAGGCCCCCCAGAGTCCCAGAGTGTGTGAGGAGGGATGACCTGACATGAGAAGGGCCGACTGTGGTGGCAGACACAACCCCCACCAAGGTTGCTTGAGGAGGGGGTTGAAGGAGTGGGCAGGAGAAGGGTTGGCAGAAATTTTTAAAAGTTTGTGTCTCCCAGGCCCTTAAGCTGAGACCTACAGTAGAAGAGGGGCAGGGAGAGGGGTGAGGGGTGAAGACGGGCGGGAAGAGACAGCGGACAGGTGTTATGGTGGTGGGACAATTATGGGGACTATCCCTGAGGGGAGATAGCAAATATTGTACAAAAATGAATGGCCATGTAAGAAAATAAAATAATAATAATAAAATAAAACAAAAAGACTTGGGGCAACTGAAAAAGAAAAAAAGACTGTGTGCCTCCCATCACACCATTGAAATCTTGTGAAAATATCTCCTCCACTGTGCTGAGGTGACCTAGGAACCCCCAACTCCTGTTCCAACAGGCATGAGTGTTTTTTTTTTTTTTTTTTATGGGTGTGCTAGGCTACCCCATGACGTTCCCTTCTGAATGAAGTCCGGGACAGTGATTCCGGCTAGAGGTTGCTCCCCAACCGGCCACTCCTGCCTTCCCTGTTGACCTAAAGGAAGGCTGGGTAAACAGTGCCGCAGATTAGCTGGCACTGTGCCCGACACTGCTGTCTGCCCTCACGCTAGGGTGCTGCTGGAGCCCAGGCCAAAACAGCACCTGCCTCCTCTACCTTCTTCCTTCCTGCCCCAGCTGCCTCTACCCTGCTCCCAACCCCTTCTCAGCACCTGCCCACACCCTAGGTTAGGCCTTGGCATCTTGTCACTGTGTAACTCTTTCCCTGAAAACCTAATACACATCTACTCCCATTATAGTATACACAGGAAAGCTTGCCCCATCAAGGAACCAAACGATTCATCAAGTTAAAAATCCCTTGGCATGGCCCTCCCTGGTGGCGCAGCGGGTTAAAGCACAGCACTGAGAATCTAAAGCCGCTTCCGCATGAGTTCGATTCCCGCCTGCCCCGGAGGTGACCACATGGTGTGGCCGACCTCTCCTGGCCCGCCCGCTGCTCCCCTCAGCAGTGTACTTCGTCGATCTGCCTGTTCTGCTCCCCACTCTGTCTCTGGTGAAGCCTCTCGCCGCCCCTGAGCCTCTGGCCTGTACCCCAGTTCTGTATGCACAAATAAATAAATCTTTAAAAAAAAAAAAAATCCCTTGGCAAGGCCCTCCCTGGTGGTGCAGCTGGTTAAAGCAGCTGGTTAAAGCACTAAGAAGCTAAAGCCACTTCAGCATGAGTTCGATCCCCGCCTGCCCCGAGGTGACCCACAGGGCACCGCAGACCCCTCCTGACCCGCCTGCTGCTCCCCTCAGCAGTGTAGTTTATCTACCTGCCTGATCTGCCCACTTTGTCTCTGGTGAATCCTCTCATCACTCCTGTGCCTCTGGCCTGTACCCCAGTTCTGTATACATAAATAAATAAATCTTAAAAAAAAAAACAACCCTTTGGTAAACTGTTAACAGTGGTTCCTTTGGGGGAGAGGTCCTGGAGGACGGAGGAGGGAGAGGGTATGTGCAATTTTAATTTTCTTTGTATTGTTTCCATTCTCTGTCATATGGAAGGATTGATTTTATTTAAACAATATCAGGCCTCCCTGGTGGCCTAAGGTTAAGGTTTCGCTGACCTGAGTCTTCTCCCCGCCAGGGAGCTGACCCCCGTGGCCCGGCAGACCCCTCCTGTCTCCCCAACGGCTCTCCTCAGCAGTGTGTTTCAGTTAACCTGCCTGTTCTGCTCCCCACTCTGCCTCTGGTGAGTCCTCTCACCCCCCACACCTCTGGTTTGTACTCCAGTTCTGCTTTGTCTGTGCAAAATAAGATAAAGTAAAATAAAACAAGGAAATGTGATTGGTAGGATTATAGGCCACTTGATCTGGATTTTGGACCCATATTAAAAAAATGAAACACATGTTATTTAAAATGAAATAAAATGCAAAAAGTCACTGGTTATGGAAATAGTAAGTTTCTGGTTTATATATTTTAAAATTGTCTTAAGGTTGTAAGTTTAGATTTTTCCCCTTTAAATCAGGTAAACGGTGGGAAGGGGTGCAGAACCAGATGGGGGGGGTAGGGGACTCTTAGGAAAGTCTGGGCCTGTGACTGTGCTTGTGATGTGTGTGGCTGTGGTTTTGAGTCACTTATCTGGGTACCTGGGCGTGTGAGTGTGTGTGCTAGAGCGCGTGCGCGAGGGAGAGAGTGAGTGCTGGTGCCCAAGTCTGCTTTGTCTGTCTCTCTGCATGTCTCTGCCTGTCCAGATGTCTACGCATGAGTCTCCACCTTGCTGTGTCCATTATATGCGTGTCTGATGTCTGTGGCTGCTTATGCTGCCTCTTCCCTCCCCCATGACTTGTACCCTATGCCGGTAATCGGACCTGGGACACAGCCCCAGGGCTGCCAGGAGACTTGCTGCTGGGTATTTTTAGCCTGTAAACATGTTTGCCATTTAGGAGGCCAGGGCGGCTGGTCTCAGCCCCGGCCCACTCATGATCTTGCAGCGAGGAGGGTGCTCCTGCCCCGACAGGGTCTTTTCATGTCCCCAGCCTGGGGTCTTCCTTCCTCAGCGTTTGAGAAGGAAACACTCCTGGCACAAAGTGGGCAGTGGTAGCCTCCTGGGAGGGAGGCAAAGAGGATTCATGGAGGAGAAGCAAATGGGGCTTGGAAGGGGGTGCTTGTAGCCAGAAGGTCCCTGAACCCCATCATTAAGCGGTTAATAAAATCTCCAGGTAGTTAGAAGTGGCTGTGGGAAATGGCTGTAAATTTGGAAACTGGCGTCCTGCAAATGGGGGCGTGGGGGAGGGGCTCAGACAGGGGCTCAGGGAGAAATGCAGGGGAAGGTAGAGGCCAGGGGGGGCCTGGGCTTCTCTTTGGGGTGTTGGCGGGGAAGATGGGAAGTTGGGCCTACTCCCCGGGTGCGTGACCCCGACTCCAGGAGGCAGAGACAAGGTCTCCAGGCCGGCTGGGTGGAGGTAGACGAGAAATGGGCGCAGCTGCGCAGAGCTTGGGAACCGAGTAAGGAGACCCCGGCCTAGGGCTTGAAGTGTCATTGCCAGTGGTGAGAGGAAACTCAGAGATCCCTGTCAAGCTGGAGCCGCGCGCGGCTGAATCACCCAAGCCCGCCAGCCACTTCCAGCACCCCGAAATCCTCCCCGTCCAAACGGGTCCCTTAGAAGTCCCGGCTGTGAGATGTGCCTCGGGTTGCTTTGAGGACTTTTTCTCGGCAGACGTTGCGGGTACATCCCGGCTCCCGACGCGACCAGGGCAGTGGTGGGGGGAGGGAAACAGCACGTTGGACGTGCGGTACCCCCTGAGGCCTGCGCCCTCCGGCGGCCCCCCCAGCAGCCTACTCCTGGGTCCCTCCAGAGTCGGCCAGGCAC